CTTTTCTCTTTTTATACAAATTCCACTTTTTCCCTCTCTCTCTCTCTCTTTTTGTTTTTGTTTTTGTTTGATCTCTCTTTCGTTGACCAACTCTTAATTATAATGTTGAGAATCTATAGAACACCGGAATTATTTCCATATTTTTTCCATAATTTTTTTTTCTTTTCTTTTCTTTCTCTTTTTCTTTTCCTTTTCTTCTTTTTCCTTTCTTTTCTTTTTTCTTTTCTCTCTCTCTCTCTCTCTCTCTCTCTCTCTTTTTCTCTCTTCTTCTTTTTTTTTTCTTTTAATATCCTGCTTGAAACGTGTCGTACGTTTTGTTCGTTTTGATTTTTTTTCCATCCCCCGCCCCCTCCCCCTGGCCACCTATTAAAAATACATACATTAACAAATACATACGTGTATCGTAAGTTACGAACGAGAAATTATTTTTCAATTTATTTTATATTAATTCCTATTTTTTTTCCTTTTCCTTTTTTCACTTTAATTAATCTCAAAACTTTACTCAACTTAAGTTCATTAATTGTACATCATTATTAAAATTGATCATCGATAATATCGTTGAACGGCGCTTTCTTTCGGACTTTTTTTTTCTTCTTTTTTTTTTTTTTCTTTTCTATGGAATTATTTTAGGATAGATATTGATAGAAAAGAATAGAAAAGGAAAGGAAAGAAAAGAAAAGAAAAGAAAAGAAATGAAAAGAAAAGAAAAGAAAAGAAAAGGAAAGATAATGGAAAGGAAATTAAATAAATAAAAGAATGGAAAAATTTTGTAATAAATAAAACGGTCGAGAATTTTTGTTTTTAAAACACGTGCGCTAAATGTGAAAATAAAAAGAAGTGAAATAACGTGGCATAACATGTCGTCTTATAAGAGATTCGTATATTTTTACGTGTATGTGTGTATGTCTCTCTCTCTCTCTCTCCCCCTCCTTCTCTTTTTCTCTCTCTCTCTCCCCCTCCTTCTCTCTTTCTCTCTCTCTCTCTCCCCCTCCTTCTCTCTTTCTCTCTCTCTCTCTCCCCCTCCTTCTCTTTTTCTCTCTCTCTCTCTCTCTCTCTCTCTTTCTATTCGCACAAGGATGTTCAAAGTATTGGGTGCATTCATTCGAAAATATATATAGTCGATGTTCGCAATGCGACATAAACGATGGTACACGTGCGTATCCTATTACCTACGGCCGATCGAGCACGCGCAGCTATCTGTCTTCGAACAAACGTTTGGAACATTGACCGGCTCACAAGCTGTGCCTCGTGAGAAAGGGTTGTTGCTTTCGAAAGGAGAACGGGGAGTGGAAATAGGAATTGAATGGAACGAAGATGAAGCTGACTGACTGATTTTACACGCCTACGCACGTTTCGATATTTATGAAGTATTCGTATTTGAAGTATTTATTTTTGAAAAATATTTCCTCTTTATTTTATCACAAAATGTATTCGAATGTGATCTAAGTATCTTAATATACATAACATACATACATACATATATATATATATATATATATATATATATATATATATATGTGTATTTATTTTTCTCGCATAATTTCATTTTTCTTTTATAATAATAAATGTAGACGTGCATGTGTGTGTGTGTGTGTGTGTACGCGTATATATGAGATGGGTGGGTATTTACGTACGAATCGTGTATCAACTTATGGTTATTTCTTTCTTCCTATCTTGATCCGTTCATTTCGTTGAAATTTCCTTTTCTTTTCTTTTCTGTTGGTTTTTTGCTTTTTGTCTTTTTTTTTTTTCGTTTTCTTTTTTTCCACGTACATTTTCATATTTTATCTTCGCGTTGATTACTTTTTTTTTTTTATCTCGTATTAGTTATTAGTTATTTACTCTCTTGTTTTTTTTTTCCTTTCCTTTTCTTCTTCCCCCCTCTCCCTCCTCCCTCCCCTTAAACCTATTATAATACAACTTTTTTCGCTCGTCGTATCTATTGAAATAAAATTGTACAGATGATTGAACATTTATGGATTTATTAAATTAGATCAGATCATGTATATAGATTAGTACGATTAAATTGTACCGATGATATGAGTATAATTTTTACTTAAAGAAAAAAAAAAAAAAAAGAAAAAAAATATGTGAAAAATTTGAGCAGATATGTGTGAAGTAAGAATTCGAACGATTCAAAAAGTTCGTGCCAATAAAATGAATTAATAGAGTAACGTATAGAACTTTAAAGTTACGTGAAAATTATAAAGGATTATAAATTGTGATATCTCATCGGAATTTTTTTCTTTCCTTTCCTTTTTTTTTTTTTTTTTTTTTTTATTAGATCGATCTAAGAAACATTTAAGTAATCGAAACATGTATATACATGGTGTACGTACATATTTTTAATAATTTTGTAATTATATATGTATAACAGAAAAAAAAAAAAGAAAAAAAGAAAAAAAAAGAGACGTATACATATGCCTATATGTATTTATATACTCGTACGTAATACATTTGAAAATCATTCTTTAAATCTTTTCAATGGTTTATAATTTATTGTTAGAGCGTTAACATACTCGATGATAAAGATACATGATTAACATGGTGTTCGATATTTAGTCTTTCATATTTTTACGGACAACAATGGTCAATAAGCAGTAAAGTGTTTGTGTTTTTATCAAACTTTCTTTCTTCTCTCTTTATCGTACTTTTCTCTCTCTCTCTCTCTCTCTCACTCTCCCTTTCTTTCTCTTTCCTTTTTTTTTTTATTTTCATACTCATATACGTATATATCGGTTGTCGATATTTTATCGTGATTTATACGGGCGATTGCGCTTGTTATCTCTTATATAACGGTGACGTATGCTTTCTCTCTTTTTTTCTCTTTTTTCTCTTTTTTTTTCTCTCTCTTTCTCTTTCTCTCTCTCTCTCTATCTCTCTCTTTCTCTCTCTCTCTCTCTTTAAATTTTTCGAGATCGCGATATTCGCGCCGTGCCGCTTTTACGGGCTAACTTTTTACAGCGCGTTAACTCTCCCCGGGCTATTATCTATTTCATCGCGATCGGATTTACGTCACGGATGCGTATACGCGAATTAAGTACTTCGGGAATAGAGTCGTGCTACCTATGATGTTAAATAATCGGAGAAAACAAAATTATTTATTTATATTACATAGGTGTACATTGTACGTATCTATCTATTTTATACGAGGAATATAAATTTATTATATCTCACGATCAGTAATAGTTTTATATATATATATATATATATATATATATATATATTTAATTGGATAATAATTTATGTTCATATATCCAATATTTTATATTTTAAATGAAACAACAGCAATAACGTCTAGATAAAGAATATTTTATTAATATAATAAAAATAATATATGTATTTTTGCCTTCACTGAAATATGTTAAAAAATATTGAACGCGATCTTGTTTGTTTAGATATAAAATATTGGCCAATATATTAGATATATATATATATATATATATATATATATATATATATATATATACACACATATATATATATGAGCTTATATATTATATGACATATACTTTACATATATCTCTTCCACCATATTCGTTTAGATAGCAGTAGCAATCAGTCAGTTACACAGCACATTTTAAGTTAAATGGATTTCGTGGCATTTTCTTATCATTTTCTTGAGAATATCGGACAAACCGTTAGAGTTATGTATTTTGTTCCCTATTTCTCCCTCATTAGCCTGCACCCTATCCCTTTTCTATGGGTTAGGTAGACGAGAAGGATATGGTTCCCTTTGAGAATAGCTACGTTTATGGCAGCACCACTCTTTAAAAAGAAAATTTTCTCAAATATCTCCTTTTCTTTTTTCTTCTTCTTCTTCTTCTTCTTTCCTCTTTTTTATTTTGTTCATTTCTTCTTATTTTCCACTTTTTTTTTCCCTTCTTTCTTTCTTCCTTTCTTTCTCTTTCTCGCCGTGCTCGTTATGTAGATAAAATCCTTTAGCGTTTTCTTCGCTGTCTACGCATCAAAGCACGAAGTTACGAGAACCGTTTTAACAAACTCGGCCCTGTCTGACTCTTCATAAAAAGATATATATATATTCTCTCTCTCTCTCTCTCTCTCTATATATATATATAGAGAGAGAGAGAGAAAGAGATAGATAGAAGCAAGCTAAGCGTGTATCAAGCTAACCGACATTGTAAGTATGCTATTAGTCAAGAACGAAATGAGTAAACGAGATATATATATATATATATATATATATATATATATATGAAGAAAGAGAGAGAGAGAGAGAGATGAGAGAAGAGAGAAGAGAGAGAGTCTTAGATGCTGTTATCTTCGTTACACTTAGAGTTCTTTGATGTGACGTAAACGGCAAGCGATGGTAGTAGGGTAGCATCGTTTGCTTCTTTTTCTCTCTCTCTCTTTTTTTTTCTCTTTTTCTCAATCTCACTCACTTTCTTACACCCTCTCAGCTGATTCTATATTCCTTTATAGTCCCAAGAGAAGAATCGAATTCGTCAGGTAAGAAAGAACCGACGACATTGACGATAATGGAGATATAGTACAAAGTCGAAGCTTAAAGGGACTTTGTCCAAAAGCCACTAAGCCTTTCCACTAGTAAGTATCGTTCCGCAACTACTTCATCTTTTATGTAGTTTCCTCCCCCCCCCCACCCACCCTACCCCTTTCCCCCTTCTACCTGCTTTACTTATTTTCCTTCTTTTTTCCTTCTCTACTACTACTACTACTAACACTACTATTACTACTACTACTACTACTACTACTACTACTACTACTATTACTACTACTACTACTACTACTACTATTACTACTATTACTACTATTACTATTACTATTATTATTACTACTATTACTGTTACTATTTCTATCAATATCCAAAACTTTTGGACGATTTTTCTTTTCTTTCGTTTTTGCTCTTCTTTATTTGTATTTTTTCCTTTTTTCCTTTCTTTTTTTTTTCCCTTTTTGCAATTTTTTCTTCTTTCAATTCCGTCTCCTTCTCTCTATTTCCGGAATAGCTTTGGGAGCATTATTCGCGCGTGTTTCTGACAAACGAGCCTTCTTTTTCTCCACCTTCTCCTTCTTCCTCATCTCCACCTTATTCTCCTTCTCCTCTTTCTCTTCATTCTTTCGTTCTTTTTTTCTCCTTTTATCTCCTTGTCTTCCAATATTAATGACAAGAGAATGATTAGCAAGCTTAGAAAATGGCGTTTAATTATGGCCCTATGATGATAGTACACCGACGATTATTAATATCAAAATCTGTTGAATATTTACAAGGTAAAATCTTTCGAGCACTCTCTATTTCCTTTCTCTTTCTCATCCTCTTTGTCTCTCTCTCTCTCTCTCTCTCTCTTTCTCTTTTTCTGCGATCTTGATTTCAATTTGCTTCTCATAAAACTTACTGTCATTTTACAACAGTCTCCTTTCGAAAAGAAAATAGGTTTATTTTCGATTCAATCTAATTTTAATGAGACACATATATAAGTGACATAATAAGATTCGAATACTTACATTTACATTAACTTTCATTAAAATATTTAATACGTCGTTTATACGGATCTTATTAATTCACTCGAGACATATGTTTTCGAAATGATCGTTCGCGATCATTCTTTATAGATTCAATTATAGATTTTATCGTAGATTTAATCGAACAGATATCACTAATATATTTTCACAAATATTACTTTTTTTTTATAATTATCAAATCTTATCAAGTCTTATCGATTTAGATTTTTTGATTGTAACAAAATAAATTTGTAATTTTATATTGAATCGTTATGTTAAATTAATATTTTAACAAACGTCTATAATTTTTGTTAATTTTCAATTTTAATCGATTGTTAATGATCGTGTGTCTATATACTGACGATTATTGACTGATAGAGATATACAAAATGACGTGTAATATTACGATAGTCATCATACGAGGTACACAATATCATTAGATTGTACAATTCGACAAATTTTAGACAATTTAGTATTGCAATTAGTATTGATTGTAATTGATACGAATTTTTTTTTTTTTTTTTTTGTATTTATCTTGCCTACGAACGTACTTGTTTACTTACTTAAGATTTTACAAATGAAAATCTACGGATTTTGTGATCTTTTTTTGTTCCCTCCTTTTTTCTTTTTTCTTTTTTTCCTTCTTTTTACCACTTATATATCATACATATATATATATATATATATATACACGCATACATACATAATGTAACATGTATAATTTTATATACGTGACAACTGTGAATAGTAATTTTTGGCTTTGTGATTAACGTTAGTAAAAAAAAAAAAAAAAAAAAAAAAAAAAAAGAGAGAAAGAAAGAGAAAAAAAAGAAGAAGAAAAAAAAGGAGAAAAAAGAAAAGAAAAGAAAAGAAAGAAGAAATAGATAAGTCCGTAGATTCGCACGGATTTTCGAAGAAAGTAATTTACGAAATTCTAGGAAGTTTTCACATCTCCCTAAGGTATTATAGAAAATCTGATGATAATTTTATTCGAAACAATTTCAAGTTACATATATATATATATATATATATATATATATATATATATATATATATAGTTTTCATCCCTTGTGTAAATTAAATTTGACGTTGTTCCTTAGGGTAAGCTTCTGAGTTCTTTATTTTAAAAAATTAATATGGACAGATAGGAAGAAGTTTAGAGAATTATTTTTCACATAAACGATATACATATATACATACATACATACATACATATCTCTATTGTAATACGGAACGTTACGTATCACTTTAATCAAACTATCTACATAATTCTCTCTCTCTCTCTCTCTTTCTCTCTCTTTCTCTCTCTCTCTCTCTCTTTCTCTCTCTCTCTCTCTCTCTTTCTCTCTCTCTCTCTCTCTCGTTCAGGTTGTAGATAAGCGAAGGACTTAACGAAGCTCTATATATGGGTACCTTTTGTTTCTACCGGAAGGTAATAGCTCGATAAAGGGTGTCGAGAACCGTGACACGGGAACGATGTCCAAGATAATTTCATGATTGCCTTAGGGCTTCAATTACATCCTTGACACGGACCGCATGGAATCTCAAGATTACGTTTCCCTACTTCCTTTGTACTCCTCCCTTGTTGGAGTTCGTCTCACCCTTTCTCTCTATCTATCTATCTCCACTATCTCTCTACTATCTCTCTCTCTCTCTCTCTCTCTCTCTCTCTCTCTCTTTCTCTTTTTCTTTCTCTTAATCTATCTTTCTCTCTATCTATCCATCTCTTTCTTTTTCTCTGTTTGGACGACCATAGTCGGACGGTCCCATTTATAGTCCGACCTGGTCTAAGCCTCTTGGCAGCAATGTTCTCTCGTTCGACTCGAATGAGCACTGATTCTACTGAACATTCTTCCTATCAATCCTGTTGAATCCTAGAAAATGAATCTCTGGATATATTATATAGGAAATATCTCTATTCTGCAAAAAGAAAGTTACAAAAAAAAATAAATAATTAAACAAGGAGTTTTATTTTAAATTCATTAATGAAAGAAAAAAAAGAAAACGAAAAAAAAAATAAAGAAAAAAGTCTCGTTGAAAATTCACTCCATTGAACCATAATAATTGTATTAATTTTCTTTCTTTATGAATCAACGATTGATAAATTGCTGTTAGCGTCGATGCTTATAGTTAAAAAGAAAAAAAGAAGGAGAGAAAAAGAAAAAAAAAAGAGAGAACTAACAAGGAGTGATATTTAATCGTTTAAGCAAAGGAGAATAAAAAAAAAAAAAAAAAAGAGGAGAAAGAAAGAAAGAGATAAATTTCTCATTGGAAATTAATTATTTCCTATGATCGAAGATACATATGTGTATACATACATACATACATACATGTATACATACATGCATGCATATGTATCTTTTTTTTTTTTTTACTGAATTTTAAATAAATAAAACGAATACAATGTTCGATCGTATTTGTATACCTATATATGTAGTTTATTCGAACGTAACAAATGTTATCTACCTATACGATATAAGCATTTATCTATAATATTATATAATTAAATAAAGTATATCGGAATTAAATTTATCAATGACAAGTAAAGGAAAAAAAAAAAAAAGAAAAGAAAAAGAAAAAAGAAAAAAGAAAGAATTTAATCGAAAATTCTCGTTGTCTCTCTAATAATGATCATCGAGTTAATTTATATCGAAACGTAACAAAAAAATATAAATTGCTGTGGTAGACGCTTGTTCAAAAAAAAAAAAAAAAAAAGAAAAAAAAATGAAAAAAGAGAAAAAACAAAAACAAAAAAAAAGAAAAAGGAAAGCAAAAAAAAAAAAAAGAAGAGACGAAAGAAAAAGAATTAACAAGAGGAAAAAGATATGATAAGAATGGAAGAGATAAAATAAAAGAAGAATTTCTATTGTGAAAATTAATTATTTTTGATATAATCGTTAATATCTTATACGTCATTGTTTTCGAATTTTAGATGAATTTTAAATGAAAATTATTCTATCGTATTCAGGTACTTATCGATGCACGTATATGTACTTATGTATTATTCGAACGTGGTGAATGTTGTTCATTCAGTTTTGTTATATATGCTCAATATAATATCTATAATATTATATAAACATCATATATTGAAATTAAATCGAACAGGCGCTAATGTACACACGTTTCACATTCCTTCGTCATTTCGTCCAATGATGCGTTGCTTTTTGTTGTTCATACGGTTTCACGTGTTTTCATCAAGTATTTCTCACAAGAGCATACTCGCTAAAGTTTATCATAGCTTGCACACTATGGATGCAACAACATATAGCTTCCACGATAATCTACTTTATCGATTTTGTACTGGGACAAAGGCTTTCATCCCTTCGTACCTTTCTCTCTCTCTCTCTCTCTCTCTCTCTCTCTCTTTCACTTTCTCATTTCTTTCTCTTTTTATCCATACTTCTCGCCCAACCATCCATTCACTTTTTTCTCTCACGATATGTACGTACACGGTTATTCTCTTATCTGTTAAAAAATATTGAAATAATTTCTACGTTGTTAACGGTTCGACTAGCAAAACAAGATAAGATAAGTGTAGCGAATTAAATGAAATGAAATGTAATGAAAAAAAAAAAAAAAAAAAAAAAAAAAAAAAAAAAAAATAGGTAAAAGAAAAAGGAAAATAGAAAAAGAAATTAATTCTATTCCGAAAGATTAGATTTATTTATTTGTTACTACCAAAATTTATCTATGGAATGTCGAGAGATTATTACGTTTCTTTCCTTTTCTTTTTTTTTTTCTTTCTTCTTTTTTTTTTTTTTTTTTTCTTTTTTTGTTCAGATCGATGAAAAGTAGGATTAATGACGAGGATCGATCGGTCATTCGTAAGCTCGTTTCTTTAGCATTAACTATGACGTTAAATCTTTGGAAAAGTATATCAACTGATACTGATTAGAAAATCGTATAGTTCGTTGATCTACATGATATCTTTTAAAGTAAGGCTAATAGATCCTCGGTAAAAAGTGAGATCATAGTAGGAATTAAAAGGAAAGCACAAGAAAAAGAAGAAGAAAAAGAAAAGGAAGGACGAGTTATTCTTGGCCTCATTCTTGTATCTCTCTCTCTCTCTCTCTCTCTCTCTTTCATTCGTTCTCTTTCATTCTATTTTCTGTCTGTCTGTCTGTCTGTCTGTCTGTCTGTCTCTCTCTCTCTCCCTCCCTCTCCCTCTCACTCTTTCTTTCTTTCTTCTCACGTGGTCGATGGATCACCGATTTAAGTGCACTAAATGTCTTCCATTCCCGGAAGCAAGTTATTATGCGGCCAACTGCACAGTAACTTTTTTTCCACATAAAATACATTTATCAAGGAGGACGCCATTGCCAGGAGGCACGTGGAGTAGTGTCTTAGTTGAAAAAAGTAAACTGCTGAGAATGACTTCTCTCTTCTATTCTTTCATATATACACATACACATACACGCAAACGTATATACACACATATATATATATGTATATCATATATATATATATGATATACATATGTATATCAATGCTGATATTTTCAGTATCTCTATCTATGTTACATCCCGAAAAATATCTATCTAATATTCTTTGATTATTTTCTTTCTTTCTTTCTTTATTATCTTTTCTCTTTCATTATCAACGGTTAATGAGATCCTACATTTTTTTTTCTCTTTCCTTTTTCTCCTCTCCGTCTCTTTTCTCTTTTTCCTTCTTTTTGTTTTCTCATTTTCCTTTTCTTTTTTTTTTTCTCTTCTTTTTCTATCTTCCTTTTTACTTATTACTCCAACGCACGAAGAATTTATTTCTAATTAGAAAAATTATGTCCATTTGTGTTTTTTTTTTTTTTTTTTTTTTTTTTTTTTTAATCATTTTCTTTCTTTTCTTTTTAAGGGGATGGTAACTGGCTAAGTTGACAGCGGTGAGAACGAACGGATTGTCATTGTTGATGGTGATTGTGACGTTTAACAAATGTTTTCGTCACGTTTTATCGTTAACAACGTATACGACTAATGACGAATGCTTTTGAGAACGATTTTAATTATGCGATAAGCTTGATAGACAAAAGGAGAAACAATGTAAAGCAAGCGAGTAAAATGAGAGAGAAAGTGAGATAGAAAAATAAGCAAAGGGAGAGAGAGAGAGAGAGAGAGAGAGAGAGAGAGAGAGAGAGAGAGAGAGAGAGTGGAAAAAAGAGGGTAAATGTAGAAACGAAGAACAAAGTACGCCTTTCTCACGTGATTAGCCACTTTGTGAAAGGAAAAAAAAAAAAAAAAACGTGAAGTAACGAGAGGTAAGAAATGGTACGGCTCCGTTGAGAACATCAACGAGATCTTTACTATATAGAAAGGGTAAGGAAAAATAATTAATCTACCCTTCTCTCAGTTAGTCTGTAATAGTACGACGACTTTGCCGTATATCGTCGCTTTCGTACGTTCGAGAGACCGTGATAAAGGGTACAAAGAGGTCTCCTTCTCATTCGACGTCTCGAAGGAGTAAAAGGAACTGAACGGACACGTTAATTACATTATCCTATGTGAGTCATAAAGACAGAGTAGAAAGATCATACAGGAGTAACTACTTAAGTAATTATTAAATATCTCTTTTGTACGAAACTTCTTTTTATATTAATATTTTTTTCTTTTTTTCCTTCTTTTCTCCTTTTCTTTCTTTTTTTTAGATTAAATTTATATATATATATATATGTATATATATATATATATATATATATATATGTATGAATGAGATGGTACTCTTTTTAGAATTTTACTCTTAATATCTTTTTGCATTTTTAAAATGAGTCATATTTCAGAGGTGACATAAGTGAGAGACTTATGCGAGTCATAAGTGAATCGTTTTACACAATGTGAAACATTTAAATATAAAGACGTCACTTTAGAATGACTTGAAAAAGAAATTTTTGATGTCAATTTTATATAAAAGACAATTTCTCTTCTAATTAATAAATTATAATAAATTAATATTTATATATATATATATATATATATATATATATATATATGCGTGTGTGTATGTTTGTGTATGTATACGTATTTAATGATACGCATTTAGAATTTTCTTTTTCATAATTTTAATATTTTTAGAATGAATATTAAGTCGCAGGTGACACGAACGAGAGTGTCATGCTAATTATTAATGAATTATGTCATTTAAATAAAGAAGGATGCTTTTAAGAAGCTTAAGGATGTTAAAATGAGAACTTTGAAAGGAATGTACAATTGCTTGAACGTTTGGAGGAAAAAAAAAGAAAAAAGAAAAAAAGAAAAAAAAAAAGAAAAAGAAGAAAATAAATTAAAATAAAAAAAGTACGATATAGTAAATTGTCGTCGAACTAAAGTAAATAACTAATCGTAAACTAAAGTTTAGACTGTGTAATTATACTCGTTTAGTCAGGTACGCAAAATGGGCCGATTAATTGTCGCGTAAACGTGATCGCCATGTTAACTCAAACTCACAATAAGTTAGGAAGTTCTTCTTAGGAAAACATTCAACAAATCTCGGCTATTTGATGAGAAAGTTTGAAAAGCCGGTCATTGGGAAGACTAACGAGAAGAGATCGGTATCCGGATTCTCTCTACAAACGGGAACAACTTTTTGACCTTTCGATCTCTCTACGCCGTATTTGTCTTCGAAAAATCATCTCGCCTTTCTTTTTTCTTCTATTTTTCTTATTCCTTTTTATTTATTTTCCTTCCTCCTGCCTTTCCCCGTTTCAAAAGATTTTCTATTTTCACGACGAATACGTGAAGAACGAAATGTAATCTACATTTCTTTTTTTTTTTTTTTTTTTTTTTTTTTTGTTTTTCTTAATCGTATCGATGATATTACGAATTCTACAAATTATTATTAGAACTATTATTATAGAGCTATTTATTTTACATGATGATTATGATGATGATGACGATAATAATAATAATAATAAATAGATAATAAGATTAACGTGCAATAGTGCAAAACAAAGCCATCAAAACCATTAAAATGTCAATTAATTAATAGAAGACGACATATGCAGTATTCAAAACAATAAATGTCGGTGAATTACGTTCGATAATGTATCAAAAAGCTTTAGAGTAATGCTGTTATAACGTTGAATAAAAGAAGTGAATTATTTAATTAGTCCGATAGGATAAAACGGATTGATATATAAATTTTGTCGATTTATATATGAAAGTAAGATAAAGAAAAAAATATTAATAACCGGATATTAACTTTAATATAAATAAATGTAGGAAGAAAAATCAATAAACGAAGAGAGCAAATAATGTTGAACAAATTTTCTTCTTCCTTTTATTTTTTTATTTTCTTTTTTTTTTTTTTTTCTTCATTTACGATTTATTACTTTTCAACATGAATTTTATTCAAGCGAATTTATTTAATTACAATAAATGGACAAGGGATAAAAATATTTTGAATGGACATTGAAAACATTGCATGAAAGTACAATTGATTAATATTTATTCAATGAGAAATTTAAATTCGACATTTTAATTTCCGCGAATGACTACTTTTGAAAGAATAAAAGGATTATAAATGAGATTGAAAAGAAATTTTGTTTTTTCTTTTTTTTTTCTGTATCTTAGTAAATTACCAATGGAATAAAATAAAAGAAAATTAAATAAATTAAACAGATATAAAAATTAATAAGAAAGAATAATAATACATATGACCCAATTATACATACACATTTAAATATATTTATATATATATATACATGTATATGTTTAATGTTGAGTCGGTAATGTTGAGTCGGTAACAAATTCTATAAATTATTAGAGCAATTATTTTTAAAATAATAATAATATATAATGAATATATATATTTCGAATTTTCGTTAGAGATTTCTTCTTTGAGAAAAAAATGATATAATTTTTAATATATACGTATTAGAGATACGATAAAAGATAAAATCAAAAAACGTGATTAAACAATGGCTGATGCCAATTTCGTGGTTTGTTAGGATTGGACGAATGAACGAACCAACGAAAATGAAGCAACGAAAACGAAGCAACGAAAATGAAGCAACGAATGAACGAAAAAGAGAGAGATAGATATATAGATAGTTAGATAGAGATAGAGAGAGAGAGAGAGAGAGAGAGAGAGAGAGAGAGAGAGAGAGAATGTTACGAATAAAACGCGTGGAAAGTCTGGGACGTGAGCCCTCGGGCTATTTCGAAAGGCCGGAACGCGGAAGTTTCGAGAGTCGAAAAGCACTGCGCGAAAGCTCGAAGCTAGCTTCTTCGACCCTTTCCACCCTAAGCTCTGGCTTTATGGCTCGGCTGCCCGTTTTTGTCTCCGATTTCTTCCTGCCGAAAGCATCTCGAAGTTATGAAACCCCCGAGACAGAAGGATTCGGTATTCTTTCCGGCCGGTGATTCAATATCTTTCACGCTTTTCTTTCTTTCAAAGAGAAGCATGAGGAGGAGGAGAAGGAGGAGGAGGAGGAGGAGGAGGAGGAGGAGGAGAAAGAAAGAGAGAGAGAAGGAAAAGGGGAAAAGAAGGAAAAGAAGTATGAATAGACGAATGGAAGGAAGAAAGGGAATAGAATTTTCCTTGCTCTGTTGAATCGTATTACGTGACCACCATTTTACTTGTATCCAATTTATTTTCACTCAATTTGGGGGTGAACGGAGAAACGATGCGAATGGGGAATTGGAAATTTATAGTAATGATTAATAATAGTATGGGTATGTATTATTTACAAGTTCCTTTTTATTTCCTTTTTCTTTTTCTCCTTTTTTCTTTTTTTTTTTTCTTTTTTTTTTTTTTTTTTATTTATTTCAAGATAGATAGCAAACGCATATGAATGTACATACGTACTACGCACGTAGTTTGGAATGTATAATAATGAATTATTGAAAGTATGTTATTGTCGAATGTATTATTATGAAAGAAAAGGTATATGTAAAAAAAAAAAAGAAAACATTGTTCGTTTTTAGAGAAATGAATAAATCATTAGTTTTATGTGTATGTATGTATATGTAAGATCTCTCTCTCTCTCTCTCTCTCTCTCGCTCTCTCTCTCTCTTTCTCTTTCTTTCTCTTTTTATCTTTATTATTGTAACACAAAAGTCGATTCCGTTTGAAATCGATTCGTTGATATTAATAATAAGCCTAATTGATAAATCTGTTTGACGTAGGATGAAATATAACAAATCGGATATCGATCCTATTTGAGAATACTAATCGAAAATGGAATTATTCGAAAGTGTTCCCCATCAATTTTGGGAAATGGTTAAAGTTGAATACGTTGACAAGCTGACGATGATAGTTTTTTCGTATAAATTGGAAATGAAGTAGAGAAAGAGAGATAGGGAATGAGAGAAAGAGAATGAGAAAAATAGAGAGAGAGAGATAGAGAGAGAGAGAGAGAGAAAGAGAGTGAAAGAGACTTTTCGTGTTAGATGTTCGGACGTAAATATGATTTATCGTTGTTGCCTCTCACTGATCGATCGCGATGACGTGTTATTCTCACGAATTCTATTTCAAATGGATAGGTCGATAATCTCGCGAGAAAATATGACGAAAAAAAAAGTCAGACAA